AATTACAATTGTTTTAGGTAAATAGATTTCTTGTAACATTCTGCATAAAAAGTTAGTAAGGATAATATGGCCAAAAAGTGTATCGCTTACGTGATATTTAATATGTAAATCTGACATTTTAACATAAGATACCTCGTAAAATATTTGTTTCGATGTTCTTACCCCAATACTTTTATGCACAGAATAATGAGACGAATCAATTGGTGTAAAGAAAACGCATGGTTGTTTATAACAAAAAGTACATTGCAAATTACACATTTTTTGTTATAAACAATCATGCATTTTTTTGCACCAATTGATTCGTTTCATTATTCTATACATAAAAGTATCAAAGTAAGATTATAGAAAAATAAATATTTCATGAGGTATCTTATATTTTGTCAAAATATGTCAGATTTACATATTAAATATCTCGTAAACGATGCAATTATTGACCATGTTATCCTTATAACTTTTTATGCAGAATGTTACAAGGAATTTACGTACATAAAACAATTATTGTAATTCCATTTAAAAAAATGGCGATGACCTTTATGTGACCTTAACAACGCAGCCTAAAAACCAATAGTATCTTCTTATGTCTCGCTTCGAACCCTACAACTTTCGTCTAAAACGTTTTTTCATATTTACAGTCGTTTCTAAAATCCAGGGGCGGGGACAGATTTTAGAGACACCCTGTATATACACATATTTATTAATTTCTTTTATCGGGTACTGTCCCAAGGGACTCTTTGACTAATTTTCATCTTGATCCGTGAATTCTAACCGTAGCGATTGCGTCTAATTCAATAAATAAATGACTATATTTCCAACATTTGACCCCCATATCTCGAAAACTGGTCACACAAACCTTGTGCCCATTGGAACTTTGAATCAGGACGTCATACACATCATACTAAATTTTCAACCAAATCGACTGATATCCATTTTTCCCTACGATTTGTGCGTGGTCCTTTAGATGCTATAATTATTCCCGGTTGCACCAACGTTATTTTGGTTTTAAGCGAGACTTTTTCATACCAATATTGAAAACAAATGACATAAAAACATATTTATTTATAAAAAATGTAACTTACTCATAACAAAACTGCAAAAAGTAAGATATGCTTCAATTTGTTTTTTGACTTGCACACCCGTTATACAGAGTATCCGATAATAAATAAGTTTATCTTACTGTGACGCAATCTCATAAAATATGCATTAGGAAGCGAATTTTTTATTTAAGTATTTAATATCATTATTTAATGTCACATTATTTGTAAGAATTTGGTTGTGCCCTGAAAACGAACACAGACCAAATAAAATGATATTTACCTTTTTTTAAGATTTAACTCGTACATATTAACATTTGAAAACGCGATCTGGCTATGTCAGTTAACTCTCTTCTGCGAAGCTGTGTAATTCTTAACAATATGAGTATATCAGCACACAGCGGGAAAATCTGCGCACTATGACGCAATACATATCACGCACATCAGGTAACGAAGAATTGGAGGAATGACTATAAGTAATATGTGTATATGTGTAATATTATTCCCGCTTCGTTGTATGCCTGGTATAATTGATAAAAATATATCAAAGTTTGTTTCCAGGACATTGAGGAAAAATTAGTTCACTATGACGCGATAAATATCACGTATATCAGGCAAAGAAGCATTGGAGGAATGGCTATAAATAATATGTGTATATGTATAAAATTATTTCTGCTTTATTGTATGCCTGGTAATTGATAAAAATATATCAGAGTTCGTTTCCAGGACATGGCGGGAAAATTACTTCACTATGGCGCGATAAATATCACGTATACCTGGCAACAAAGCATTGGAAGAATGGCTGTAAGTAATATGTGTATATGTATAATATTATATCTGCTTTGTTGTATGCTTGGTAATTGAAAAAAATACAATCATTTTGTGACCTAGCGTTCGTTTCCAGGACACAATAAAATTTTTATAAATAATACAATATTAAATAGTTGAATGGAGCACTCTCAGCTCGGACATTTATTCTAGTGCGATGAGATCAGTCTATTGTAACATGATATGCATGACGCATATCGCGTCACAATAGACTGTCATCGCTCACTTATCTTCCCATCTAACGCTAATATTCGTGCAGCGAGATTTTATCGTTTTTATATATTATCGAACATCTGTATAATAGGAATGCAAGTCACTTTCAAATTAAATGGATGAATAATCTACATAAAAAATGAAATTCATTTGAGAGAGATTTAGAATAAATGTCCAAGCCGAGTGCTTCATTTATATATTTAATATTGTATTATTGATAAAAATTTTGTTGTGTCCTGGAAACGAACGCTAGGCCACAAAATAATTGTATTTTTTTCAATTACCAGACATATAACAAAATGGAAATAATATTATACATATACACTAATTACACATAGCCATTGCTCCAATGCTTCGTTGTCTGATATGCGTGATACTTATAGCGTCATAATGAACTAATTTTCCCGCTATGTCCTGGAAACAAACGCTAGGCCACAAATGGTTGTATATTTTTTTCAATTACCAGATATACAACGAAGCGAAAATAATGTTATACATATACACATATTACTTATATAACCATTCCTCCAATATGTCGTTGCCTGATATGCGTGACACGTGTATTGCGTAATAGTGGGGCTGATTTTCTCGCCGCGTGCTGATATACTCATATTGTTAAGAATGATTTGTATTGTTAAGAATTACACATATTCGCAGAAGGAAATTAATTAATTATCAGATCTGTTATTATCAGATCGTGTTTTTAAATGTTAATATGTACGTCCAATGAGTTAAATCTAAAAAAAGTGTACATATTTTCTGGGGGTAAATAACCTAACGTTCGTTTACAGGACACAACCAAATTCTCACAAATAATGTAATATTATATAATTACTTGAATAAATAATTTGCTTTGGAATACATTTATCCTGTAATATATAAGTATATTAATGGGTTTTTACATAATATGATTTTTTTATTTAAATTTTCCAGAAAACAATAAATATCTTTTGACTTGCAACCCGTTATACAGAATAATAAGCAAGATCATCTCATTGTGAGGCAATACTTACAGGATAATTTATATTTCGAGGCAAATTATTTAATATCATTATTTAATATCACATTATTTGTTATACTATATATTATATATTATATATATTATACTATATATATTTAATATCACATTATTTGTTATAATAGATAATAATCTATTATGCTCTTGAAACGAACATTAGGCCAGAAAATAATATTTACTTTTTTAGATTTAATTCATTGGACGTATAACTTTTGAAAACGTGATCTGACAACAACAGTTAACTTTCTTCAATAAACCTGAATAATTCTTAATAACAATATTTGTAATTCTTATCAATATGAATATCGGCACACGACGTGAAAATTAGCCCACTATAACACGATACACGCATCTCAGGCAACGAAGCATGGAAAGAATAGCTATAAGTAATATTTGTATATGTATAATATTATTTTCGCTTCGTTGTATGCCTATTAATTGAAAAAATATCCCATTTTGTGGCCTAGCGATCATTTCCAGGACAAAAATAAATTGTAAATAATATGACATTAAACATCCGAGAAACAACGTACCTTCGAGTACATTTATTCTAAGTTTTTTGTTAATGATTTAAAAAAAATTTTTTTTATTAATAATTATAAGAGAATAAAATTATTTATATTTGCGCTTACGACTAATGATTGTTTAAAGTCAATAGACAATAATCAATACAAAGGAGAACATTGTATATTAGCAGAAACTTAATTTTCGTCTAAGTATATTTAAGACAAATTTTTAATGAATACACTTTAATTTATAAGTAAAAAAATTTTGTTTTTAAGAAAATGTATTTTTTTTAATCTCAAGGAAATTAATGAAACACATGATTAAACGTGCATCATAAAATTTATTCTTTATTAATTATTATATTATACTATTTATATAATTATCCTGTTTTAATTCAGAAACAAATATTCGCAGAACCTACAAATTAAAAAAATCACAGAACTTACAAATTAAAAAAATATAAATCGAATTAAAAAGATATTCGATATCGCGGTCTGCGGGCGAAAAAGTATATATCTTTATATGAATTACAAATATTACATAAAAAATTAAAGCTACATATAAATATATAATGTTTTGCAGTACATTGTCTTAGTATAAAAGAAAATTATTTTTAAAAATATAGTTACTTATACGGAAAGAATAGTTACTTTAACATTTACCTCATTTCAAAATATTTAATGTAATTACAAATGTATGTAATTAAGCTGTGCGCTAAGATATAAAAGAGTTCCTAAAAAGTAACATTATAAAATATAAATATAATTACGTAAATGAAGATTAAAGATCTCTAAGTTTTAATGAACACAAAATGGCTTAACGCAATAAAAATAATTAAAAATAAAAGAAAATTTAAAGATTCTAACAATCAGTTTTATTGAACACAAAGTTTCTTAACGCAATAAAAATAATACAAAATAGAAGAAAGTTAAATGTCCCTAAGTTTTAATGAATACAAAGTGACTTAACGCAATAAAAATAATTAAAAATAAAAGAAATTTAAAGTCTCTAAGTTTTAATAAACACAAAGTGCCTTACTATAATAAAAATAAATATGTAAATAAAAATAATTCTTTTACACTTTATCACGTTTATGACTATTCATACACTTTATTACTGTTATACTGATATTACATTTATATATAAATAAACAAAACTGAATAAATACTAAAAAGCGATACTAAAAAACATAGAAACAGATTATTTAGATGTAATATCAGTATAAGTGATAAAGTATAAAAGAAAATTAAAAGTTTTTAAGTCTTAATGAACATAAAGTAGCTTAACATAATAAAAATAATTGTGTAAATAAATATAATTCTGTAATTATATTTATTTATTGTACACAATTATTTTTATTATGTTAAGTTACTTTATGTTTATTAAGACTTAAAGACTTTTAATTTTCTTTTATTTAATGACATTTATATTTTATTGCGAAATTGATTGTGTATCCAAGTTTTTATTGCTGCTGGCTGTCGATTTTTCAAAATGTTTTTGCGCGTTTTGGATATTATTTCCTTTAACGAAGGTAAAGTAGAATTATTAATATTCGTTTCGAAGAGTAATAAAGCTGTTTGCTTTTCTTCAGAAGTCCAACGTATTCTTCTGGTCTTTCCGTAAGGAGGTGCTAAACATAAATTATAATTAAATCTATAAATATATCGTCACAAATTAAGAAAAGTAATTTTAATATTAAGAAAAAGGTATGCATTTCTTTAATGATTTTATATACATGTATAATTGTAATATTATTTGACTTACTGAATCGTTTCTTTTTTGGCGCACATTCTTCATCTGAATTATTTATATTTTCTATGGCGCGTTTTTTTACATTTTTTTGTTTTAGCAAAATTTTCTTTGGCAAATTATTCTCTGATGCTTCGTCTTCAACTATATTGTTAAAAATAAACTTTATGTAAAAAAATATATAATACAAATTTTCTTTTTTCATTTATATATATATGATAGATTATCATATGAAATTGTCGTTTTTGTGTCAAAATAAAAATGTTGTATTTTTAAGGAAATAGATTTTATACACTCAAAATATACATTATTAGCAATAATATTTTTCTGTCTACTTAATATTAAATTGTATATTCCTTTTTTTATTCGAGCTTTTTAAATCGAACGAAATAATCCAATTATCAAATATCAGCAATTCCATATGATACAATCTAATACAATTACTAACAATAAGTATAATATTATAAAAGTATTCTCTAAAATTATAAAAGAATTGAAGAACTTTTAAAATACCTAAGCTTTGAATTTCGTTAATACTATTCTCTGAAGTATTAGCATCTGTTGTACTGTTTGAATTAGTAGTATTAGTATTTGTATTATTAGTAGTGTCAATATCAGTGTTATGTGTAGATATATCTTGAGTTTTCTCTAAAATTTTGGCCATATTTAAAATATCAGATTCTACTACAGGCTGTCTGTAAATATTTTTATGTATATCCTTATGGTGACCCATAAAATCAGCAATGAGAGAAATTTCACTATCTGGTAAGTGTGAACATTTTGTTGCCATGTCTTTCCGTAAAATAGTCCCACGTAAGCTTTCTTTGTTCTCTGCTCCACATAGATTAGCAAATTCACGCATCAATTTACTCGCTCTTAAATATCTAAATCGTTTTTTATCTGCACCTGGCAATCCAAATATATATGGATTTTTTGAACTTACTCCTGCCAATTTCCGATATCTTAAAATTATGTCTAAAGCCTCTTTCATTTTAGCATTCAAAAGGACTGGGACGTTCCGATTTAGCTTGCCACGAATTGTGAAACGAATGTACTTTAAAGCAGATATTTTTTTTTTTGTGGTAACCTTTTATATAATTCATCCTCTTTTGTAATTTTTATGAAATTTTTGTAATCAACAATGTAAGCTCTTTCTATCTCTCCTGCACGTCGCCGATTGAAAATTTGAATCATTATTAATATTGCTTCAGCAAGTGATTTCCAAGCACAAAACGTGAATTCATTTTTTATTTCTCGCATGCTAGATACTCTTATTTCTTCTAAATAATTGGTTAACTTTTTGATATCTGATGTTTTCGGAAGATTAACTTTTTTCTTTCGACTGTTTCTAGTCTGTATTTCTGTAACTGTTTTATTAACGGTACTACCATATTCGACTTCTAAAATCTTTAGAAAATTTTTTGCTGATTTTTGTTTTTTGTATTCATGTTGTTTAATAAATTCGTTGATTAAGATCTTACATAATTTTTTTAAACATGTGCCCATAGCTGTAGCATTATATGGTATATCATATGATTCTGTGTCTTCATTATATTTAGCAATTATATTTACTGCTTTTATAGCAATATCATAATATTTCGGGTCAAATAGCATTTGTAATTCTTGTATTGCCGGTTCTATTGATTTTAATACTTCTAAATATCGTCCAAGAAGTCGTAATTGTTGTCGTATGTGGTCTCCTAAATGCTGCAATCTATGAATTTGACAGAGGTAATTTCCGTATAGTATAATTAATAAATCGTACTTTATTAATTTATAAATATTGTCATTTCGCATGACAGGAAGAATGTCCTTTCTTAATTTATGGCTTGCACGATTATGAACAGATTGTGCAGCGCTTCGTGCTAATTTTAATACATTTCGAGTTGTATCTTTCTTCTTAGCACAAATGCGATAATGATGCCTGAGATTATGTATTGCATAATGTCCTCTACACTTAGAACATGGTAAAAAATAAGAACCACATTGCTTCTCTTCTTTAGTAGGTCTTCTTACAACAATCATGGAACCGTCATTTAAATCTGCCTGTGTATTATATTTAAAATTGCCTCTTTTTCTTATTTGACTAATTGCATCTCTTCGCTCTCTAGATTTTTTTGGAAGTAATAAAAACATTTTTACTTCTTCTTCATTTTTATGTTTTAATTCTAGGTGCCGAGCAATTTTACTTTGCATAGTATTGCAGTAAAAGCAAAAATTATATTTTTTATCTCCTTTGGGCCCTTGAGACAATTCTACAAATAATTCATCATCTTTGCATGTTTCTATTTCTTTTTCTAACATATTTTTTTCGTTTGCATTTTCTGAAGAATTTGCTAATATGCTAGATTCATTATTTGCAATTTCTAAATCATCATTTATTTCAATATCAGTATGTTCAATATCAGTATCATTTGAACTCTGAATAGATGGTTCATAATCTGAATCTTTATCGCTTACATTAGAAATTTTATTTTTCTCAAAATCTGAAATAATAAACATTTTAAAAGATTTTATTTTAAAAATATATGAATGTTAAAAATATTATGCTTTATTTTTATCAAATTATTCTATCAAATTATAGAAATGCTAAGTAAAGAAAATAATTGAGTAAAATTAATAAATTTTATTTATTGACAATTTAATAAGTTAATACTTAATGAATTTAATTTTTAAAAATAACAAATTAAAGTTAAATTATATTTAAAAAGTATACCACATTATTTACATTAAATTAGCTTAATTCAAAAGAATTTATAAACAATATGTAACGCGTCGTCTACAATGAGATTTTTAGACGTAAGACTTAAGAAATTGACCAATACAGTCGAAGAGAGATTATTCTTCTCTAATCTTGTCTGTGATTGTTCAATTTCTTACGTCTTACGTTTTAAAATCTCATTGTAAACGACGCTTAACTACGTAAACTGTTACTTTTTTATTATTGTGAGCGAAGAAAAAAAATTAAAAATTAGTTTATATTATATTTTTAGTTATTAAATTAGTATTAGTTTATATTACCCTACGTAATAATTTGATGGATAAAAATTATTAAATATTTTATTTAAGCTTAATAACAAATCTAAATTTAACTTTTATAATATTGTTCTTTTTAAATATACTGTAAATATACTGTCTTTAGCGAAACCAATATTGCGAACATAATTAAATACTTTTTAAAGGAACAAATTAATAAAAATATACATACCTGTATTTTGCGAGACATTTTCAATTTGTGAGTTACTGCAATATAATTTATTGTCATTGTTATTTATATCGTTGTTTATAGAAGAATTCTTAACTCCGTTTAAATCACAAAATGGTACTATAGTGCTGTCCAGTTCAGTATTTTCAGTGATAGATGTAAACGTGGATTTATTTTCAGCTAGTACTTCGTGAATCATTTCTTCTCCATTATTATTATTTAAATTTGTACCACAATTTTCAAAATTATTTATGTCTATTCCATTCATATCAGAAACATTTACATCAGAAAGATTTACATCAGAAAGTTCCAAATTCCCCAGAATAGATGTATTACATGAACTATTTGCTGTTGTGTCACTACTTTTTGATAAAATAGTCATATTTATTTTGCATTTCTTGTCTTCTATAATTCGAGGATAGTTTTTAGAAGATTTAGTTTTATCTAATGTATGACTTTGTAAATTTTCATTAGTTATAACATTGCTCTGTAATTTATCATTGTGAAAATCGGACTTCACATCCAAATCTAAATATGAGTTTACTATAGTATTTGATTCCTCATGTTGAATACGAAATTGATTTATTGTGTCTGCATTGGAAGCACATTTGTCATTATTTGTTATATTAATTGGCTCATTACCTGCAAATAATTCAAAAACATCTTTGTAAATATTACTCTTAATAATATAACTTACACGTATGGCTTTTATTGTTGTTTGTGTCCATTAAAAATTGCTTTCGACAAAGATTTCATTACTGCGTAATGCTACCCAGATATCACAATAGTTCGCAGAGTTCAAAAGAGTTCGCAAAGAATTTATTGAAGCTTCACTAAATTCTTTGCGAACTCTTTTGAACTCTTTGCAAACTATTGTGCTATCTGGGTAGAATAGCAGTTTATTATTTATAACAATTTTTTAATAATATTATAACATAATACACATTTTTTAAATATATTTTTATTGAAATAAATTAAATTACTTTACTTTATGTTATCTTATTACATACTTCATAATTTGTTAATGATACATATATCCAATTTATTATATCTTTCACTGCTCTTCTAAATTGCATCAGTGAACCAACTGCATCTACAATGTTAAACTGTGCATTCTTAAATTTACTTTGTGAAGCAATTCTGAAGATTGTTACAAATTATTAGTATAGAAATTACTTATAATTAGTATAGCGTTAGTATCATTTCTATGTTTCTTCACACGCAATACATTTTTATTATTTAAAATTAAATTTATTTTATTAAAATTAAATTAAGATTCTATTAAATGCTTAAATTATTGTATCATTTGATTTACTTAATATTAGAATAGAGGTCTGATAAGATATATTTTAAGATATGTACTTTCGACAAAGATTCTCTTACAGCACAGTGCTAGAATATTGAAACTTCAGTATTTAAATACTAAAAGTAACAATATTAAAGAATTTGATCTTTCACATATAATTTATGCAGTATAATAGGCAATAATTATAATTATAAAAAAAATCAGTATATAAAAATTACCAGTAGTTTCATTATTTTCACATTGGTCACTTGACCCTTTGTTAACATCCTTTATTAGAATTTTTGGTGAGTTGGTATCTATGTTCTTTTTTATTTCTATAAGAGTGTGTCTTTCATCTGAAAATAACTAAAATTAATTGCATTTTTTCCGTAACATTTTTTAAATATTTTTTCATTTGAACCAATTGGATATGATTGCAATTTCTTGTATTTTTTATTATTATTTATATTTATTATAATGTTCTAAACATCCAAAAATTTTAAATAATATTTTATTTTTCACATCCTGGAATACACCATTATACATAGAATTATTCCAGGGCAGTCCTGGAAATCACTATTGTCCTGAAAGCTGCCATTATACAAGTGTCTTGGAAGACTTTAAAACATAATATCTCGAGAACGGAAAGAAACATTTAACTTTTTTAGGTCACAATCAGTTTATTTTACTTACCCGATTTACAAAGAAATATTCCAACCCATCGTTTTCCATTGTCTAATTTTATCAAATAATCTTTTTTCTTTTTAATTAGACTAGTAGATTTCACAACTATTAATGTTTTAGTATGTTTCAATTTGAGTAAAGAAAACATAGTTTGGCTAAAGTAAAAAGCTAAAAATACCAAAAATAATGAAATATTTTCATCAAAACTAATATTAGTACCGCGCAATTCAAGGCTATATAACCTGCATACAAAACCGGCACACAGCATGTGTCGCATTCGGTAATACCAACGTTTTGCAATAAGGGTTAGATCACATGTATTTTAAGGATAATTCACATTATACACATAGGGTGTGTTCGGGGAGAGCGCTACCAGCGTTTCTTTTTCTTCGTTTTTCCTTTTGTTTAGAAAGAAGAAACACGAAGGAGAAATGTTAATAGCGCTAACCGCGTTTCCCCGAACGCATCCATAATATCATTGGCCAAGTTTATTTTGCTCGCTTTCGTCCTGAAAGCGAGCAAGACAAATGGGGTAATAATGTGAATTTATCTTAACATAGAAACATTTTTAGCATCGTACACTGTTATTTGTCCTGGAATACACCATTATACATAGAATTATTCCAGGGCAGTCCTGGAAATCACTATTGTCCTGAAAGCTGCCATTATGCAAGTGTCTTGGAAGACTTTAAAACATAATATCTCGAGAACGGAAAGAAACATTAACTTTTTTAGGTCACAATCAGTTTGCTTTATTAAAATGTATTTAAAAACTGTAAGATTTTTAACTGTCTCGGAACAAACCCTTTGACATATATATATATATATATATATATATTATATGTTGTGCTTACATGCTTTTAAAATTAGCTAGATAAAAATGATAAAATATGTAATTTATCTTAAGTAAGATAAAAATAATTTTGTTTTAAATACATTAGATAAAAGATAAAATTATAAGGCGATTCATCAGGATAATTTTCTAGACTGCTTGTGTAAACACAGTTATCAGAAAAATGTAAATTATAAAAAAATGTAAAAATATATGTATTCATATTTTCATTGATATAATACATATTTTTATTATCTATATAAAAATAAGATGCCGCCAAAGTTTTATTTAGATGATCGTCTATATAATTTTATTTAGATAACGGCAAACACTGTGTCTATATTAGAAAACAAATTCCTGACGAAGATATATTTTAGTTTCAAAAAAAAACGTGATTAATGATTGCAGAAACATAAATTTTGCAATTTATTCGACAATTGACTGCGAGACATAAGACTCTAATTTACGTTAAGGATTTACAAGTCGATCATGTGCTTCGTTCAGTGCTCAAATGCATGGGAGTAAAGTTCAGAAAACCATCGTCATGCTCAAATGCCTTCCCCTTCACCTCTTGTAAATATTTCATGGGATTGGAATTCAACGATATAAAATCTCCCCTTTGTATACTTGTGCCAATGATTTCAAAACCTTCCGTGATACTTTTTAGATTCGTATTAAGCGTATGATGCTTCATTATTAAATAATGTCATTTTGCTACACTGTAAAAAAAATTGTCAACTTGGCTAAACCTTTCAACTAAATATTATTTTGTTAATTCAACATATAAAAATATTTCAATTAAATCTAACAAAACATATATTTGACTTAAATACTAATATATGTTCAATTAATAAAATAATGATTTAGTTGAAAGGTTTCGTCAAGTTAACACATTTTTTTACAGTGCAAACATCGACAAGATTTAAAAAAAAAATAAGCCAAAAATATTAAGTAAATTTTTTTCATACAAGATTTTGTCTTTAAGAAAAATAACTTATTTTATATAAAAAAAAACAGCGATATTAAAATATATATTTTTTACATATCTTTTATACATTACACTTTGTAGTAACCTAAGTTATTTTAAATCGCTTTATTACATTAATGGAAAAATAATGCACTTTTTTATTTAGAGCATTATTTCACGCTATGAGCGATAAATTTAGTTTTACTTTATGACATTAAATCATTTTTACAATGTTTTCAACTAACGAGTTTATGGAAATAGCATTAAACTTTGATGCTTTACCTGATGACAGTACTTAACCAGAATCAATAAAGTATAAAGCACACAATATTATATATATATACATGTATATAATCTATAAAAAGCAATTAATTAAACAAATTTAACGTATAAAGTGAAAATCATTAAAAAAGCATGTCAAAAATTTTCAAGTTTTTTTTAGCACAATGCGTTTCGAAATAGTTCTATTTTTATATACGTTTCTAATTTTATCTTACTTCCCTTAAAATATTTTAATAATTTGAAGTACTTTATTGAAAAGTATTAAAAGTATCATATAAAAAAATATTATTTTTTATTAATATAATATTATACAACAACAAATTGTCCTTTGATCGGTAATATCATAAATGATTTATACTTCAAGTTCAGTAATACTATAATGTAAGTATATGATAAAATTAATGTAATGTATGTGATACATACACTGAAATAAATCCATGTATTTTAATATGGAAATTATTTGTTCAGAACTGGAAAAATTACTTGACTATCACTGTAATTTTTTTCCCATATATTTTAAAGTAAAAGTACATGTAAAATATAGGTAAAATTATTACTTTTATGTAAAAATCATATAGCATTTTAAATTTACTATTTTTACTTTATTACAACTTTATTTTGAAAGTATTTATACATTTTATTTATAACGTTATTTTATAGCATTTATGCATTACTATAGAATTTCCAATGTGTAATTCTATATTCGGTGAAACATTTTTAATCTTAAAAATACATAAGAATGTATTTCATATAAAATTACATATAATCTGTAATCTTCCATACGAGTAACAATATTGCATAATTATTCTGAGTCGGAAAAAAAACCCAGCATAAACATGTAATTTTACACAAATATTTTTTTCAGTGTACGATCAATATTATGAATTGCGATAAGCACAATGAAATGTTTTCAATAAAACTGTGATTAATTTCATGTTATTATTTGTAGACCCTAATAAAATCAATAATGTTATTATATCATTATTCTTGCAAATAAGAAAATAAATAAATCCATATTTATTAGACAAGAATTGTAATTTTATTTTAAATTTTAAATTTTCAAACATTCTGCGTTCAGTCATTTTAACGTTTAAAGCACCGTTTTTTTGTAAATTTCAATTAATATTATGCACCATAGATCGTATAAATAACAAGTCTGATAATAAATTCATTAATCGGTTGTTGGTAAAATTCTGACACCAGGCAGATCATTTAGATCCATGAAAATCCAATAACAAAACGACAATGTGACAGTTTCGCGCTTTCTTCCGTTTTCGGCTTAATATAATAAAGTGGATCTTTATTAAATTACATTTTTAAATAGTGAAAAAAATGTTATTCCTGGATAATCCACAAAAAATTCGTAATTGATTTTAAAGAGTGTCATTTGAAATAACGAAGAGAAAGAGAAAGATATTGTTTAAAAATTGCAATTTTTACTTACGAGAAAAGGGATGTCGCAAAAAATCTTCCAATTAAACCCCAAATATTTTTCAAATAATAAAATTCTTGCTTCCTTAATAAATTTATAAAAAATAGATTTATTAAAATCGAAATAAAAACATTCAGAGAAATTCATTGAATTTTATCATAGCATAATTAAAATTTTAATTTTTCGAAATGTTCATTTTCTATCCTTTATTATTTTTCATTTGTCAAATAAAAATATTAGAAATAACGTAAGAAATAAATAACATTCTTGCAGTTTCAATCCATATAGAGTAAAAAAATTTATGTCGAGTTTTTCTATTCTTTAGCGAATAACGGTTCTTCCTTTAAAACAGATATAGCAGTTAAATTTTTTGAAAAGTACATAAATTTTCCTGTCACCTATTGTGTTTTTCAATTTTTATATGCGTGTGGAGTGTCATAAAACCATTACCGTAAACTAAAGAAACGCGTGTCGAATTTATCTATTCTTTTGCCACTAATAATCTTATTTTGAAACCAAATTAGAAGATATATTCTGTAAAAATATATATATAAGTTTTATTACAAAAAATGTTCCTACTGTTTATTGCGTCAAGTTCGCACGACGAATTTCGAAAAAATACTAACCATAAATTAGCACCAAAAGATGGTGTTCATTCAGAAGGACAGCTTTTTTACACGGATCGTCAGACACTTGAAAAGGACCCGTACCTAAGGGTCGAAACGTAGTGTTTTAAATTAAATTGTACTGGCCAGTTAGGTCGAAATTTCAATAAATACGTATAAATTAGCATGGTAAAAACTCTCTGAAAAAATGTTTCTATAGAACTATAGAGAACTGTTAAAATTGCGGGAAATCTAATACGCGACATATTTTCATCAAATGTCATGTTGGCCGTAATTGTCAAGAATTATAATTTAATAAAAATTACATATTTTTAATAATTTTCACAATAAAAATTATATATTTAAATAATAATAAATAGAACTCTTTAAAAAAATGTTTTCAAGTATAGAATTCTTACAAAACTAGAGAAATACCGTCAAAGTTGCGGGAAATTATCTTTTTATAAGTATTATATTATATTTGAACTTTGAAAGTCTACACAGAGAAAATTTTTTCTTAAAATTTACCTTAAAAATCATGATAATTGTGAAATAATATATTTGGAGCATTTTATAAGAGTTTCTCTGATTAATATCTACCGCAATAATATATTAAAATTTTTTTATTGTGATAAATATTTAATCAGAGAAACTCTTATAAAATTTCATCTCACAATTTCCATGATTTTTAGGGTAAATTCTAAGAAAAAAATTCTCTTCGTGTATAAACAACTTATGCGCAACACATTTTGGATTCCGTAAATACAAAATATATTGTATTATTTATGAAGTAAGATTAAATATTTTTTACTCGAATAGTCTCTGCTGACTCTTTTAGCTGAATATTTAGAAGCAACGAAAAAAAATGAGATCTAAAAATTAAAATGCATTTCCAGGTTCTCTCCTCTCTATTATGTGTTTTTCCGATCCTCCATTCTATTGCATTATATAGCCTAGGTATTTCATCTCCTTTACCTCTTCTATATCTTCTTCTCCCCACTTCCACGTTCTTTTTCTTTTTCCACTTCTTCCTTTCTCAAAGACCATAGATTTTCGAAAAAGGATTAAAGATCAATTATTTTATCAATAGAAAATAGAAAATCGTTGATTTTTGTATTTTTGTATTATAATATTTTAAAAGACTTGTTTTATTTAAAGTTTTTTTTAGATTTAGAATAAAAGATACTGTATTAATAGAGCTAATGTATTATATTGGATTATATCATATATTATATTAATTGTATTAATTCGTAATGTTAGATTTAAGATTTTAGATTGTAGATTGTAGTTTTTAATGTTTTAGAATGTTTAAATGTCTAATGTTAATTTCGACTTGAAAAGAAATTTGTAATCCGGAAGCCATCCTAAGCCTGAGAGCAAGAATTATAAATAAATAGAATAATATATGATAAATTAAATAAATAAATAAATAAAATAATATAATTATAAATAAAAAAACTATAATTCTGCTATTATTTTGTTAACAAATGTAGGTTTCGTCTTACTGCTTGATTTATTATTTTATTAAGCATTTCGAAGACCAAAGTTTTCATTTTCAAAGAAAATATATAGAAAAAATTTCTATTATGGATTCACAATGAAG